GTGTGTGTGTGTGTGTGTGTGTGTGTGTGTGTGTGTGTGTGTGTGTGTGTGTGTTTTTGTGCACGTCAGAATGTTGACGGGAATCTTGAAGTTTGCTTTCTTTCCTAAAGCATTCTGTTTATTTTTCAGAGCCTCTGTTGTTGCAAGTCTAATTCCATTACCTCCTACTCCCCTCACATGATGAAACGCTCAAACACCCCCCACCCCACCCCCAGGAATAAAGACAACTTGCTGTGCACAGCTCTCTTTTTTTTTTCTCCCCATGAACATTCCCAGATTTARCCAGAAAACACATTGTCTTGCAGTCGGTTCATCACTTGCAGCTCGGGGAGTATGAGATTCCACGACGGCCTGCTGATTTGTTCGTTTGTGTTGGGAGTTGTATTTCTAGGGAACTAAACAACCTCGAAGTGACTCCACATTACAATTCCTTCCTCCATCCAGTCGAACTGCGGAGATGAATTCATTATCATTTCAGTGAACGTCCTGGAGAGTTCTTCTTGTGAAATCTAAAGCAGCTGAAAACAGGATGTGACTCCAGTGGGGTGAGAAGTGTGGAAAGTCCAATGTAGGGCTAGTTAATGTTTCCTGAGAGTAAAGGGTTAAAAAGTGGCCAGAAATATCAAACAGGATGTTCCTTTTCCTTTTATGTTTTTAAATTTATTTATTTCTATGCTTGTTTTATTTTCAAAATGATCCAGGAGTCATTTAAGTCACAAGCAGAGCTGCTTGTCTGTCTGTTAGCAAAATATCTTGCAAACCACCAGATGCCTTCTAATGAAATGTTAGGAATGTAATCATTTTTAATCTAATTAACACAAAACTGACTATACCTCAGTCAGTTTTACAGACTATATCCTCTGTCATTTGAAGAGGTGAGATTTGACAGTGGTTCCCAATCTGGGCAGACCACCACCCCCGGGGGGTGCGCCAGAGAGCACAGAGGGGGCCCATAACCTTGTTTGCCCAGAAGTTGTGAAAATATTATAAAAATCACCAAAACTAGTCTGCTTGAATAATTGAAACTCTGTAATTCAGTTCTTCTTCTTCTTTTCCCCTTTTCATGATAAAAGTTTGCAACTTTTGGCTTTATTCTTTTGTTATTTTGAAAAAGAGATACAGGTTGAACGGGTCTTTAGGAGAAGTGGAGAGTATAGCGGTCTCAGCTTGGCTTGGAAGTAAGAAAGAGAGGCTTTGAGGAAAACGCCGGTCTCAAACTGGCATTAAAAGCATCCTTTCAACAAATCCTTCTATTTTAAACATTTATTCACCATTAGAGGAGATCTATTAGTTTTAAACAAAATGCTCGAAGCAGAATTAGGGGTGTAAGAAAAATATTGATACAATGAAATATCGCGATATTTCATTTCCCGATACTGTATCRATATTCTAAAGCCCTGTATCGATTTTTTATTAAGGTTTAAAATGTCAAC